ATAATCACACCATTTTTATTGTGAAAATACTGTACAGAGGGGTTACAATTACATGGGAAAGATAATGAGTACATTTCTTATCAAGCATTGTAGCCTCCTCCTCCTCCCTTCCCATCCCTTCCCATCCCCCCATCTCCGTCCTCCCCCCACTCCCTGTCCTGCCAAAGTTGTAAAGTTTGTGTTTTGACATAACGTCTTGTACATCTCATTGTTGCCATGGGTCCACGATTTGTTTTTCCCCTTCCCCTCCACAAATTATACTGACATCAAATACAGTGAAAGCAGGGGTTATACCATGGGGGAGGGACATACAAAGCAACAAAGAAATAATCTTATAAATGTGTTAGAAACAATCGCATGAAAGAAAAAAACATTTGAATACATATCTTAGGGTTCACTTCCCTAACATCAACTTACCTGACCTTTTCTGCTTGACTCAGACATATACTAGTTTTTGGAAATAAGGGAAACCATGGGACCTAAGTTTCTTTGGGCCTGGCTTCCTTCACTTAATATAATTTTTTCCAAGTCTTTCCATTTCCTAACAAATGGGGCAATGTCATTCTTTCTGATGGAGGCATAGAATTCCATTGTGTATATATACTACATTTTCTTGATCCATTCATCTACTGAGGGGCATCTGGGTTGGTTCCCTATCTTAGCTATGGTAAATAATGCTGCAATAAACATAGTCATGCTGGTAGCTTTAGTATGGTCTTGTTTGTAAACATTTGGGTAAATGCCCAAAAGTGGGATTGCTGGGTCATAGGGGAGCCCTATGTGGAGTCTTTTGAGGAACCTCCATACTGCTTTCCAAAGTGGTTGAACAAAATCACAACATTTTTAAGTTATGCAACTACTATTTGCAACATAGGGGAGGATAACTAAGAAAAGTAGACAGTCATGTGGGAAAAAAAGTTTCATTTTTTTATTTGCCCATTCATGATCTAAACAGCATAAAAGTAATTTCCAATTACTACCATAATCCAAGAAAAGGAAAACTGCGATGGGTAATAAATTGAAAACCATGCTGTGATACAGCTAGTGCTAAATTATTTACTACTAATGAAAGAGTAAATTAGTTAGGATCCAGGGCTCCTGGGACAGCATCTTGACTAGCAAGAGAAACACTGTTTCAAAATTCCCCTCCCCTCTCCTCCCTTTCTCTTCTTCCTCCCCCCACCCATTTCTCTCCCTCTCTCTTTCCAACCCCATTTCCCCAATTTCCCCACCCCCCTTGCCCTCCTAGATCTTCTCCTATTTTTTTGATGACCTTCCCATGACCCTGGGGAGAGGATCTGCAAGAAAATGTATTAGAAATTAACAGTAAGATTTCATCTTCCAATCTGGGAGCTACTGGCTTATGCCTATAATTCTAGCTACTCAGGAGGCTGACATCTGAGGATCATGGTTCAAAGCCAGCCCAGGCAAGAAAGTCTGTGAGAATCCTATCCCCAACTAACCACCAGAAAACTAGAAGTGGTATTATGATTCAGAGTCGTAAAGCACTACTCTGAGCAAAAAGAGCTTGGGGACAGTGCCCAATCCCTGAGTTCAAGCCCCATGACCAACCAAAAACTATTCATATTCATCTTCCAAAATACCTAATTATAGGGACAACCATTCAGAGCACAGCTCAGGGTATTCAAAAACCCTAAACTCAAGAGCCACCTGGGGAAGATGACAGGATGGTTGAAGGTGGAGGCAGTGGTGGTTGATACTTCTGAATAAAGTTCCTCACAGTCTCCCTCTGGTGTCCTGGATTCATTGGTCCAGTTCCTGAAAGGAGAATCCAAGAAGGCCATGGCAGCACTCTCAGTAGAGTTGAAACACTAGCAGGCATTGTCTGCTGTTGAGCTGCAACACCAAGCAGGCTTGCTTGATACAGGGTTGCAACCCTAGTGATCTCTGCCAGCTGCTGACCTGAGAAGGGTTGTGTAGAGCTCTGCCACTGAGAACCAACAGCAGAAATTTCACTAATCTTCATATTCTTTCCTTTCTAATTTTCAAACACACAGTCAGAAAATTAACAGCATACTGTGTGACGCACTGTATTTATAACGAAAGGAGTTAAAATAGAATGCTCTGCCATATTGACTATTCTGAGTTGAAGGCACTGCATATGAATGTTGAGAAGGAAAAAAGCAGGTGTATTCTGATCTTGCTATTGTTCCTCAGAAGCTACAGTGGAAATTCCCAGGTGAAAAAGAAGTAAAATCATATCCGTAAAGACAGAAGTAAATATAGTAAACATCTGAAAGAAATCTGTATAGACTTTGGCTGGACAATCTTTCCATTTAAAAAAAAAACTCTCCCAGTGTTATAGTTACTTTATTCCTATTTGCTACTTTCTGTAATTCAGTATGTAGGACTCTGACTCTGAACTGCTGCTTCTCAGGGCTTTCATCCCCGTGAGGACTGGCTTCTGCACTGAGTAACATTTATATTTACTTGTAATAATAAACTTGTATGTTTTTCTCTTATTAATCACTCATATCAATTTAATTCTCAGACCCAGCATAAAGACTCCCAGAAGATGGAGGTATGGTTTTGTTTCCCTCTACAACTACATGAGCTTCTAAAGATAACAAAATTCATGGGAAATAGCACACACTGGAAAGCAAAGATGTTTATTTATCTCTAATTACCCCTCTCGTTCCCCAAAGGGATTCTGTTCTGATATAAAGTCTACAGTCTTATTGTGTGAAATCTAGTGTTGTTTGTGGTCTCAGTCTGGGCTGAGACCTTCACCCAGTGTTTCTGAGTACCAGTCACTGTCAAGAAACAGAATTCAGAGATGAGACAAAAGAAGAAGTTTTATTACAGAACAAGAGTACATATTCAAGAGTGATGCCAGCTTCTCAAGAAAGTTGAAAACCCCTGAATTTGAGATTATTCTTTTTACGGGAAACTTGACTGGAGGGAGGACTATGCATGGTTTAGAGTATAAAGAAAAGGTAGAAAATTCTAGGAATCGCTTAAGATGTTTCCTGGAATAGAGTTTACATTCTATTTCTGTCCTCACCTGGAGTTTACAGATGGGCCAAATGTCCGATATGAGAACAGCCAACTCTGCAAAGCTAATGATAAAGGAGCTGCCATCTTAATAAACAGCGCTATAATACAGCAGTGGACCTGCACCAGCCTCTATCCACCATGCAGCCTACTTTCATTTTTTAATGCCAACTTAGGCTACCTCAGGGTCTGATATCTCAAGAACTGACTTTTCATTGAGTTGTTTCTAGTTGCTGGAAAGTGAGCAAAATACTTTAAATCGACAAGATTATATAAAATAAAAGTCTGTGACCATCCATAATCCTAAGAAATAACCCAGCTCATATATACAGTCAACATTATTTTTGTTTATGAAGGGTAGATATTTACTAGTGGAATGAAATCCCAGTTCACTACCCATGTGATTCTGGGGAAAGTAACCTAAGACTGTAACCTTGTGAGTAAAAGAGTGAATACTACCTACTTTTCAGAGCCACTGTGAAAGACCCAGATAACCGAAGCACCTAAGCGTTTCATGAATGGCAATATTACCACTGAATTCTATTAAATACCAGACGTTGCTTTTGGCATTAGTGACAGCAAGTTAAAGAGGAATTCACTAGAGCCACTGCCCTCAGAATTTCCATTCAAATATACTGAAGATATGTGAATTTATCAATTACAAACTGTCCTGTTTTTTCTCTTCCAAATGCTAAACTGCTACATTTTTTTCTTTTGCAAATATAACTTGTAGTTTAATTACCAAAGTGTTTAAAGGCCAATGTCTGAAACACCTACAGATTCAAGCCTAGCCAGGGGTATCTTGCAGAAAAGCCAGCCTGCAGCCTCTGGGGGAATTCTACATTGCAAAACCCATCTAACTTGAATAGCTTCCTGCTTCCCAGGAGAGTACAAGTAAGTACTGCCCTACTGCAACTACCTTAGGTATAACTCTGAGAAACGGGGAAAGGTTCCTGCTGTAAATCAGCTGACCAGTTACTACAAATATGAATAACCTCCTATTAATTTGTAGGAGACCTCTTTGGAGTTCCAGATTTCTGCTCTTCCGGCACCTGGTTTCATACTAATCTGTTAGTAACTTCTTTTATCTGTCTTTACACTTTTATACTATCTTTACACTACAAGTCCTTATGTTCATCTTTATAGCCTTCCCATCTAATGCAAGGATGAACACTAAGTTCAGTACTTTTGTGCTGAATTATTAATTGGTACCAAGCACTGTACCCAGTAAAATAGATATAGACATTAAAAACAAGTTCCCTTCCAAAGAACAAATGATCTCATGGACAGACAGAGTCAGCAATTCAAATACAAGAACAGCACTAATAAAATACTATAATACCAGATGTAGAAAGGTTTGAGAAGAAATACCTATAGAGAAAAGCCCCACCCTTCCCACTCAAGAAGACATATCAGGAACAAAATACCAGTAGACCCAGGAGGAATGAGGAAGCAAGAGCCTAGTGTGCATGCTATTTTGAACATCCTCTAAGTTAGAAACAATCAATCAGCATAGGAAAGAAACAATCAGCAAAATCACCAGTATCCCCATAAAAGCATGTCTCCAATCTTACATCAGCAGCAGCAAGGATGGTAGCATTTTCCTTGAGTGGACCTGTCCACTGCCTCCTCTTAAACATCTCTTCCTAAGTAAGCCTCTTACTTCCCCTGTTTATTTGTCTTAGTAAATTCTTTTACCAGTTCTTGGCTTCCAAATCCACAAAATTACCCATGTGGATTCAGGGGAAAAGATGTACCCCTCAGTAAAATGGAGAAAGCTAGAGAGTCCTAGGTAATGAGATGTTAGAAACATACTCTAGGGAAAGAAAATACAATATGAATAGCATGGGGGAAATATCTGAAAAGAGCACCAAGAAAAGTTTGGTGGGATCAACAGACTGGTCAAACTTAGAAATGAACCCAAAAAACAGAAACTTAAAAATAACTTCCCCCAAACTTGGTACTTACAGTTCACTGTGTCTTACCTTCCCGAAATTCCTTTTGACCCTGGAATCTCTGGTACAGGCCGATGTCTTAGCAGAAAAGATCGAGAAGGTCTGGAAACCAATTTGCTTCGACTTCTCATAGGTGACAGGATCGGAGAGGACGGAACGTACAAATCATTGATAACCATTTCTCCTTGAAATTCAAAAAAAGGGCCTGACGGTGAGCTTTCTGATAAACTATTGGTTCCATTTTCAGAATTTGCTTTGGATGTCAAGTAGTCAAGGGAAGAAAGACATTCAGGAACTGGATTAGGAAGTTCGCTCAAATTTTCTGATACCAAATCAACCTTTCCTGCTTGTTGTTCTTCAGTTGTACAATCCATAGACTTCTTTGATACCCAAGAGCCTATTTCATTATTTTCACTACCTGATGAAGTATCATGAGAACTCAAATTCTGGTGTACTTCATCTCCTGTGATAGGCAAGTCATGTTGAGAAAGAGATAGCTTATCATCTGACATAGGATTCTGAGGACTCTCCACCCTAATGTCATTTTGAGTGGGATTCTTTGAACCGGTCTCCAGCTGTGTCAAGTCAGATGGTTGACTGTTCCCAGAATCCAAAGGTTCTATGCACATGTTCTGATCTGGAGAGGTAGCAGGGTGGTGCTCTTTTGAATTGTCCACATTCTTTGTTTTATGAACATTTGCATATATGGGGATCTCTTGCATTTTTGACAAGATTATCTGTAACTGCTTCAGTATCCTCCTGCGATGTCCTGTAGGTGATATTCCAATTTTGTGCAGCACGCTATCATTTATTGATGCACAGTCCTTCACCGTATAAAACCCAGACTCATGGAAATGTAAGAGATACTGCTCCAAATTAATGCTCATTAGGAAATCTTTGATATCAACATTTACTTCGCTGACTGAGGACATAATGGTGGCTTCATTCCTAAGCTGAGTAACAACAACAACAACAAAAATGCTCAACAGAGATACACACACAAGATGCACTTCACCATGGGGTATTACTGTGCCACTGGTGACAGAAAAGTTCTTCAAAATGTTATTTTCTCCATCATGAGTGCTTCATGTACATAAGCCTAGAAAAAAAATAATAATTTTAGTGTGGGTGTGTGTGGGTGTGATTTCATTGGTGCTAGAGATTTAATCCAGAGCCTTACTTTCAGCAAGCATTCTACCCTTAAGCTTATATACTCTTAACCCATGATACTTTAATCAGCGAAACCTAGTTTTTACCTAAAACTTTCCCTGAAAGACAATGTATAACAGAAATTAGGGCACTAAGTTTTACTCAGGACTTTGGAATCTTTGTACACTGGTTTGCATGGCCCAGAAAGCCAATTCCCAGGTTTAATATAAAAGTACCAGAGAGAAGTGATAGCTACAGTAGAATCAAACTATGATTTTTCAAAAAGATTTTTAAAAAATGATTCACTCCCAAATATACCATGAGTGAGGATCAAAGTTTTTCATCTTACTGAACAATGTGCATGTCAGATAGATTAATAATGCTAGTTCTGAGAGCATCTATAGAAGGGTTTTATACTACACATTCAATAAGTACAAGACAGTTACTTAAGATATAAACTACAGAGCAATAAAATGGTAACATTTGAGATGATCTTTTTTTTTTTTTTTTTGGTTGTAGGGCTTGAACTCTGGGCCTGGGCACTGTCCCTCAGCTCTTCAGCTCTAGACTAGCGCTCTACCACTTGAGACACAGTGCTACTTCCAGCTTCTTCTGTTTATGTGGTGCTGAGGAATTGAACCCAGGGCCTCATGCATGCAAGGCAAGCACTCTACCACTGAGCCACCTTCCCAGCCCCAGATGATCTTTTCTATTAAACAAAAGCTTTATGAGCTAAAGAGCAACTCCCTACATTTGAGCCTCTACGTAAAGGGTGAAAAATCAAGTCTGGGACAAAGATTCGCATTAAAAATCAAATATCCATAGATGAAGTGTATTGACTAATGGTTACAGACAGATATATTCTTTTGATTCCCAGATTTGAAGTCATTTTGCTTAAGAGTAGCTAAATATAAACAACTTTCTTCTTTCACTATACTTTCTTTCAGACCTGTGAAAAGCAGACAATATATTTCTTTCACATTTCAAAGAAGCAGGCAGAATTATATAGAGAGAATCAATACTATCAAGTAAGATAAGAGCAGTTGAATAAGTGATTCTTTAGTGTATGAGATATCAGGAAGTATGCTAATGTGAAAGTAAAAGGTAAAAGTTTAAAGGTCACATTTTACTCCAAGGTATACATAGAAACACAATTCAAGTAAGTCCATTTTCTACACTGGTTATATTAGTGTTATCATTCTATGAAAATACACACATACAAGTTTCTGCATATTATGCTGCAATAAAAAATACAGAATATGCATAAAACCCTCAGATGAGTAATAAGATTCAATAAAACAAGGTAAGCTTCTCTGAGCAAGCTTGCTGAAATGCTTCTGGAAATCGCAACTAGAAATTAGACACATAAAGGCCCTGCTCAGACTGCCACATACGATGTGCCAACCTCTCAGCAGACATTGCCTTGGGAAAAAAAAAAAAAAAAAAACACCAAACACAAAGCGTGTCACTTCAGTGTTACTTCATAGAGAAGTGTGATTTTTTTTGGCATAACACAAATGAAAATAACCACTCAAAGTAGTTAAAAAAAGTATTATATAATTTACCCACTGTAGGAAATATTAATATGATGAATTGGTCAGTGATTTAAAAGGATGAGAAGCACTTTCCTTTTGGATGCAGTATAGAAAGTTATGGGACATGTTTGTCAGACTTAAATTTTTTTTATTAGGACACAAACACACTCAACAACCAACACAACTCTCTCTCTCTCTCTCTCTCTCTCTCTCTCTCTCTCTCTCTCTCACACACACACACACACACACACACACACACACACACACACACAAAACCTCCAGATCCTTCCTATTTGTATCATCATCCAGCCATCATCATTCTTCCATCTCATTTACCACATTCAAGGAAGCAAGTTAACTGATTTTACTTTTTGCTATGGACAGGACTGTGTGTTCCCTCACTTCCATTCATGTGTTGAGACCCTAATCTTCAATGTAACTACGCCTGGGACACCCCTTCCCCCGCAGGAAGTAAATAAAGTTAAAATAAAGGTCATGAGAATGGGTTTCAGATACACCAAATCACTTCACTATAAGAGACACAGAGCTGACTCTTTCCCTGCCCAGCCCAGCACACTCCTCATACCTATCTCTACTCTGAAAACCAGGAAGAGGCCTTCCACCAAGAAGTGAATCAGCCAGTCAACAACTTGACCTTGGACCCCTCAGTCTCTAGAACTGTAAGGAATAAGCCACACAATCTGTAGTAACTGTTTACAGCAGGTTACTTAATATACTACTCTATCCTCATTACCTTTGCCATGGTTCACATGCTGATCACACAGTCTCTGAACAAAATCCCTTTGCCATCATCCCATCTATCACTGAAACACTAAATACTCAAAGTGTCAAATCTAAGTCCCTTAGCATGTCATGTCATATCCTGGTCTCGCTATAATAATAATAGCAAAATAATAACTACTGCTGTAAACAGCAATTATCAACCAGGTATCAAACCTCATAAATACGTCCTGCAAGGTAGGAGTTGCTAGTAAAAACTGTAGGCTTTTACTCAACCTGTGTCCAACATTCTACCCACATCCTTCACTCATGTCAGTACATTATTGCTGATCACTCCCCTAAGGCGACACGCTGTTTAAAGTCTCCATTCCATATATAGATATAATATTATATATTACATCTTCTTTTCCATGCACCATTTAAACTCTGATTAGGCTGGTTTGACTTCCTTTGGAAAAGCATTAAGTCAAACCCCTAAAAGGTAGAATGAAGTACTCCTTTCTCCACAAACATCTATAGTGAGTATCCCAGAGCTTTACATAGTGTTTCAACCTTATTCAGAGATGAAGCGTAAGAGGAAAGGGTGGTAGAAGTGGCTGAGAGGCCCAAATTGTTCATTTTTTTGCCATTTGTGCTTGTGCTTGAATTTATGTTTTCGTATACAAAATCACCCTTTCTTTGGAATATATACATATATACATATAACTTCCTGTATGGCTGAATCAAGGATGGATAGACCTAGTGCTCTACTCACAACCATCTCTCCACTATCATCCCGATGCTGAAGAAACTGATTCCTGGTCATTTCATGGAAGAGGCTCCCTTCCTTGGCCTCTACAATCCTCTACAAGTTCAGTGTCAGCATTGTCCTCCATCCATGTGACCTTTTAACTGTCTGAACACCCAAATTCTTCAGAGACTCAGTTCTTAACTTAAAGGGAATAGTCCAAAGCAAGTCACTAAATACAAAATGGACATGTATAACTATGAAATTCTACCAAATGAGATGACTTTAATGGGAAAATGAAATCCTCCCTGATCCAACCTCCAAATGGACCTACTCACAGACAGTGGCTACTAGGTGCTAGTCTGTGGATCTGCTGGACAGCCACAATTGTGGAAAACAGGGGCAGAGAGCCATCCCTGGAACACACACTAAAACTAACTGGGTTGTGTGACCAAACTTGGTAATCACAGTTTCAAATTTGTTAAAACATCTAAACATGCTCTATACCTGGCCACCTTAGTCTAAGCTCATCACTCTACTTACTTCAATGAAAGTTCTTCTAAATAAACTGCACATGAATCTGGAGTCAGAGTAATACAAGTCCCACCTCCTCCCTTTTCTAGGATGATCACAGGCACATACAGATTTCTGTATTTCCTGTCCTATAAAATGCAAAGTCCAAAAGGCCTAAATTTTAGCACTGGTGTAAATTAAATGAGAATCCAGCCCAAATATTAAAACAATTCTGAGAATAGTGATGGTTAGGAGATATTTATTTCATCACTATTTATTTTCACCACTAAGATTTTCCAGAGCAGAGTATTATTTCCAATTTTTTAGGAGAGAAAACATTAATGTTCAGATAGGATTATAAGCCCCACGGGAGGAGAGTATCTTCCATGTCATAATAACAAACCAAGTCCAAATATAGAAAACAGCCTAACTGCATAAAAAACATACAACAGAGTGTAACTGAATTGCACTCAATTATAAACTACACACGTGATAAAAAGATAGGTTTAACAATCATAAGATCACAAAACTAAAAGGAAGCTTAGAAAATATATTAAGTGAAGTAAGCCAGGCCCAAAGAAACATAGGTCCCATGGATGTTAACCGAAATGAACCCCAAGATAAAGACTCAAATGTTTTTTTTCTTTCTTGCGATTGTTTCTAACATATTTATAAGATGATTTCTTTGGGGCTGGGAAGTTGGCTCAGTGGTAGAGCGCTTGCCTTGCATGCCTGAGGCCCTGGGTTCGATTCCTCAGCACCACATAAGCAAAAAGAAAAGCTGGAAGTGGCGCTGTGGCTCAAGTGGTAGGGCACTAGCCTTGAGCTGAAGAGCTGAGGGACAGTGCTCAGGCCCAGAGTTCAGGCCCCACAACCAGACCAAAAAAAAAAAAAAAAGATGATTTTTTTTTGTTGCTTTGTATGTCCCTCCCCCATGGTATAACCCCTGTTTTCACTGTATTTGATGGTAGTATAATTTGGGGAGGGGAAGGGAAAAAACAAATTGTTTAAATAGGGATACAGGTGGACTCATTGCAACAATGAGATGTACAAGATGTTATGTCAAAAAATGAACTTTACAACTTTGGCTGGGGAGGAGAGGGGGGAGATGGGAAGGGATGGGAAGGAAAAACAGAGGAGGCAACAATGCTTGATAAGAAATATACTCATTACCTTGCTCATGTAATTGTAACCCCTCTGTACAGTATTTTCACAATAAAAAAGAAATAAAAAGATAGGGTAAATCAAAATTCTTACATGTCTTACAAGTCTTACAGACACTAAAAGCAATGAAAGCTTATTTTGTTCCAGAATAACAATTCTCAATGAAGTGGAACTATCTCCTAAAAAATAAATGTGAGAAACACATGTGCTGGTTTTCTGGATAACGGCAAAGGTGATTTATGACATCCCCAAAATGGTACCC